TTTTAAACTTTTGGTTTATCTGTGAATTTTCTATTTAAAGGCTGCTTTGCTTTTTTCTTTTCTTTTCTTTCTTTCTTTTTGGTGAGGAGGGGTTTGAACTCAGGGCCTCATTCTTGGTAGGCAGATGCTCTACCACTCGAACCACTCCACTAGCCCAAAGGCTGTTTCTTTGAAAGAAGCATATGATTGTATTATTTTAAAGCCAATCTAACAAATTCTGTCTGTTCATTGGAATTTGTGGAACATTTACATTTAATTTAATTATTGGATTATTGGGATAGTTGGATTCAAGCTTATTTTATTATTTTTGTCCAATTTGTTTCATTATATGTTCCTCTTTTTTTTGGCTGTAGTGTGGTTTGAACTCAAGGCCTAATGCTTACTAGGCAGGCATGTGAGCCACTCCACCAACCCTTCTTTATGTTGGGTATTTTCGAGGTAAGGTCTTGCAAACTATTTGCCCAGGGCTGACTTTGAACCCCAATCCTCCTGATCTCTGCCTCCTAAGTAGGTAGGATTACAGGTATGAGCCACTGGCATCTAGCATGTTTCTTTCTGGGGTTCTTTTTTATTAGTGAAATATTTGTTTTTCATTTTATCTTCTCTGTTTTTTTGTTATACTTTTAGATTCTTCCAGTGTTAAATATTTAAGGATTCAATTCTAATATTTTTAAGTATTTATCTTCTAGTATTTAAATATGCATCCTTAATTTGTTAATCTGTTAGTAATTAATAGTTTTGCCACATCCAAAGTTATGCAAGAAATGTATAACAGCATAACTTTGTTCATCTTACTTTGTTTGCTAATGGCATGTCTTATTTCTAGGTATTATTTTATACCCACAAGGCATTTTAATGCTTGTGGATTTCACTAATAAATATTCATTTATTTTTACCTGTAGATTTACAATATCTGAAGTTAATTATTGCTACTTAATTTGTTTTGCTTCCATCTGGGATTATTTTGCTTTAAAAAAATTGTTCTGGCCTGGCTCATGCTTATAATCTTAACTACTTGGGAAACCACTGAGATTGGGTGGATCATGGTTCAAGTCTAGCCTGAGCACAGTTTGTAAGACTCCCATCTCAATCAATGGCTAGGCATGGTGGCATGTACCTGTCATCCCAGCAATGGCAGGAAGTGTAAAAATGTGAGGATCCAGGTCCAAGCTGCCTGGGCAAAAAGTGAGACCCTCTCTCCAAAATAATGAAAGCTAAATGGGCTAATGGACTGGGTAAAGTGCTAGAACACCTACCTAGCAAGTATGAAACTCTGAGTTTAAACCCTAGTACTGCCAAAAAAAATTGTTCTGCTAAAATATCAGTTAACTCTGTCAAATTTTGTCTGAGAATGATTTATTTGCTGGCGGATTGGTGTGTTCCCACCAAGGTCTCGTTTTAGTGCTTGTTGTGGGTGGGGGTATGTAGTTCAGATTCACTCGTGTTCCTAGAGTATAGCCTTGTCCCTAAGGCAGGGTCCTCACTCCTTGAATGTGGCCTTTTTGAAGTCCAAATCGAATACTCTGAGTTTTCTGAGACATTGGGAAGACATTGAAGAATATCTTCAAATTGGAGTGACAAGAATTGAGCAACTATGGTTACTCTTTTCTGATAGGAAAATGAATAGTTAGAGCAGAAATAGGTGAAAAAGAGAGTAGAGGCTTCCAAAAAAAAGGAACTAAGAAAGCAATCTCAGTCCTGAAGGAACATTTTCTTTATGATCCTCTTTACTGTCACTGATACTGACTCTCCACACTAAATCCTGGGCAGGGGCTTTAGTACAATCTCAGAAGAAAACAGAGCATGTGACCTCTAACAGGTGCACAGAGACAAGCGACTTTCCCTCTATCCTTTATCTCAGAGCAGTAGGCAAAATGCAAGGCTCACCTTCTAACCATTGCTTCATAGAGAAAACAAGCAGGTCAGATAAACAAACAGATAAGTTAGGGAGGTAGCTAAGAGGGAATTCACTTAATTCCCATATCATAGTAAATGTGACTTGTTATTAGAAAGAAATCATATAACACATATAAAAATATGGTATGCAAGAAAAAGAAAGAAAGGATCCTTGTTAAAAAAAAAAGCAGAGTAATAAAATAAATTAAGAAAAAAAATAAAGGAGGGGACAGCTTTTCTCAATTATACAACAGGGCACCTGCAAGGCCTTCTTGGAAACACTTTGAATGAAGAAATCAAAGGATGAGTCATAACACAGTACCAATAATAGAAATGCCATGGCAAAAGAATTAAATAAACCTTTTCCATTTAAATATAGAACTAAATTTAAACCACTTTGGGAAATGAGAGTGGTAAGTGAAAGGCAAATGTTATAAATCTGAACTATGAGCAAATAATACCTAAGTAAAAATATAGAGGAGGGGAAGGAAAGTGAGTGCATGGTAAAACAGCTAATTTCCTCTTACTTTAAATAGCAAGAAGCCATTCGATATTGAATAAAACAAATATACGTTTAAGCATAATGAATTCAGGGCCAGCTGAATGAAATCACTTTGAGTGTAGAGGAATGATTAGGATGACATAGCTCATGAGTGCGCAAACATCTATAGTTCAGCCATTCTTCATGGCTCACTTTAATTTCTTTTTCTTCTGCATTTTAAAATTAAAATGATCTTTGCAGTATAAGGTACTTAGCATATCTGTATGCTATCGAACATATCTTTTAGTAGATCTAAGTTCTACAACTTCTGGAATGATCCAGGGGCATTGTTGTTACCCCTTATGGTACGAATGGCTATTTCTGGGGAGTGTGATTTGGGGGGTTGATTTTCTCTTTCTTTATATTTTTTCTGTTCCTTGAGTTATTTTCAATAACTATGATTAACAACTATACCTGGCACACACAATTTTAGTTTCTAATGTGCTGCAGGGTGATACTTGCTCTTCATCTACTAGTTTTGTACTAGAAGTTTTGGTTTAAGCCTGAAGCTAGGAAGGGAGTGTGACAAGACCTCTCCCCAGAGGAATTCCTGCCCAGTAGGCATATATTATGCAACTATGCCCTTGTTACTGACCCATGAGGCAGGCAGCACAAGGGAGAGTGCATCCTCTTTGCTGCTAAGGAAGAGTCCCAAAAATATAGCGCACATACAGAAGGTGAAACATGGGCATGAGGGTTCAATATGACTGCCTCATCTCTCCCGGTGGAGCACATCAGGAAGTGCAGGTGTGCGTGCCAACGCCTCCTGAGTGGAGAGCAGTTCTGGCAGGTATGGACTAAGTAAGAAAATGGAAAGAAACAGGTTCCATAGAGAAGATTCTAAAGAGCTGTTCAACTGGGACTTGGCTTTGGCCCTCTTCGATACGTCTTTAAGATAAGAGTGGGGAAATGGGAATTCCAACTTAAATCATTGTAAAATAGTACATTGCTATACTATTTAAATTTTTATTATAGATATATACTACATATATACATAGACATTGTAAATGAGAGATTTACATACTAGAGGATGATAGATATTTTATTAAATCTTGTCTTGAATACAAAATTTGATGGAGGAAGAAGGTAAGTTGACATTAACATCACAAAATTCCATGTAATAAGAATGTTATGAAATTCTATATTATCTACATGGGCAATTGTTTTTTGTTCCAGGCATCAATGATCTTTTGTGTATGAAGACACTGACAACTCTCTTCAAACCTCAGACTCATCTGTTCAATTTCTTACTGGATGTTTTGTTCCCAATTCAGCACATAAACAATTCAAATGTATCCTGTCACAACTTGTTCTTTTGCTTCATTCATTCAACAACCGATTTTTGAGTACCCATTATGTGCCAGGCACTACAGTTAGATTATGGAAATATGTCTATGTCTGGAAGTTCAAGGTGTAGTAGAGAAAACAAAAATAAAATGAGGACAATGCAAACATGGTGATAGATCACAGGGTGCTGTGAGACAGGGAGTGGGGTATCTAGTCCAGGTGCATGCATGGTGTGTGGGTGAATAAATTAGTGATAAGGAAGCTCACAGAGGATGTGAGGCTGGAGCTTTCTCAAAGAGTTAGCAGGACAAGTCCTACTCAGCTAGCACTTCCCACTTCTACCATAGAGGCAGCTACTTTATTCAGCCTGGCCCACCATTCTTCTCTCCATACTGGCCCTAAAGGTTGCCTCATGGCTACTTTTCTTCTATCTGCGACATTGTGCACATTGTTCACTTAAGTCCTGGACCCCTTTCTGCTCACCTTACCAGTGTTTTCCTGGAGACTTCCTGGTTTCTTGGTAACATAGGTATTTCCTGCTCCTTTGTTCATAAATTTCATTGTCTTTGAGAAATCATTTAACTTTTCTGGAGCTCATCTCTTCTGTGACAGACTAGCGATTATAATACTAGTACTTACCTCAAGGGAGGTTGTAGATTTAAATGAGGTAACAGATGCAAATGCACGTCTGACATAGCATGCATGTGAATTATTTTTGCTAGGTGGTGAGTGGGATGGGGTGTAACTCCAAGGCACATGCTGGTGTTTTATGGGGGCTTTTGGAACTTTCCCCAATACACGAATATGAATCTCATTTGACCTCAATATTTGTGTCCTTCCAAGTGTCTCTCAGCTTCTAAACTGGATGGGATTTCCTTCCAGCCATTCACTAGCCTTGGACTAGTTCTTTCATCTTCTATTTCTTCTTGCGTATCATGGGGATAATTAGACGTATTTCTAAGGGATACTGTGAGATCATTCAAAGTAAGAGATAGAAAACACCACGTAGTGATGCTTTCCTACGCAAGGATTTAATCAAGGAAAGTCGCCCTCTGCCAGAAGGAACTGAGTGAGCAGAAGGAGGAGGGAGAAGGCGGGCTTGGGTGCAGCGCGTTCCAGGCCGGAGTTGCCGCCGTGGGCCAGCAGGGGGCGCGCGAGCGCCTCACTGCAGCCTCCAGGCGGCAGAGCGCAGCGCAGCGGCCTCGGCGGGGCAGAGCTCGCGTCCTGCCGCAGTGTCCGCCGCGTCCGAGCGCGCGCAGGGGAGGCGACCCGGCCGCGCCACCCCACTTGCTGCAGCCGCCACTGCCCCCCGCGATCGCTGCCGCCCGCGATCACTGCCTCCCGCAGCTCTGAGACGCTCCCTGCAGCCGGGACCGGTCAGCTGCCCCGTCTCCCGGCCGACTGTGAACTTGCAGAGGACCGCAGCTCTCCCGGCCTGGGGAGCGAACAGGTGAGTGTCACGCACGTGCCCAGGTGGCTCTTTCGGGATGGCTCCCCGCAGACCCAGTGACAGTGTCTAAGCACTTAGCCTCCGGGGCTGTCCTGCAGGTCGTGGGGTGCCCCCGGGGCGGCTTTGGGGTTCCCTGGGAGATGTGAACGCCAACACCCAGGCTTGACAGCGTTCTTGGGGCTGAGCCCAGAATGTCCTTTTGATTTAGGGACATTCACTCTCTAGTTTGAGAGCAAAGGGACCTGCAGTCCTCAGTGGGCTTGTTTGGCCCTGAAGGATACCTGTTGATTTCAGAGCGGTGAAATAGCCACCGGGCTGTGCAATTATCTTTGTGCTGCATTGTGATAAGCTGAGGCAGAAATTCAAGTAATCAAACCAGGAAAACTTGATTTCAGAACCAGAGTAGGGCTGGCCCAAAGAAAAGAGGATCTCATTCCCACGACCAGGCTAGGTTCTTTGCTTCCCTAAACAGCTGCACTTTACTTTGATGAGAGCATAAAAACAGAAGTTAAAAAAATAATTATAAAGATATTTGCATCCCCCCCTCCCGGAAGTAAGAAGCATGAGCCTTGATAAGCACAGTCTTGGGAATGATTTATTAGGATGAAACCTTTTCATAAGTAAATAAATAAGGTTTTTGTGATCTAAGCTTCAGTCTAAGCAGCTCAATGTAGCCACTTTTCTTTGTATATACTTAGCATAAGTGTGGAGTGAATGAATGAATTAATAATAACACAGAATTTGGAGGTTGTTTTTCTTTCTTTTAAAAGAATTTCCTTAATTACTGCTCAGAAAAAAAGAAACACTACACTTTTATTCTAAATATTTAGGTGCAGTGTTACCTCTAGGAGTAATAGGAACTGAGTTTATCCCTGGGAGAGCGCTGTCCACATAAAAAGTGAGTGGCAACTTCTAGCCCTGTTTCTGCACAATGTGAGAACAAATGAGTTTTCTTAGGCCCATGCTATGGATGGTCTCAGGTTATGAATTATTTTGAACATCAGGAACTTGGCAATAGGTTATTATAGTAATTTATACATTTATCTTTATTTTCTATCTTGTCAAATGTAATTTTTTTCATATGAGAAATAAAATGGTAAAGACTCTACGTCAGTTTCCTGTTTTCCTTTTGGTGACTTTTCGAAACATAAGGTTGATAATAATAACCAGCATGTCTTCATTAGATTATAAATGAAAAAATAATGCACACAATTTCTCTTTCACATGGGAAGCTTCTATGCCTCAGAGGCCCTTTGTGCATTTCTGAAATATTTGACTTGTTTTTAAAAAGTAACATTTTAAGCATTAATCAAAAAGATAATTACTTAGATTTTATATTCATGGGAACAAACAGTTTTGCAGGAAATAGCAAATTATTATGTATACAAACTCCTGACACTTGCATGCTCTATGTTTCAAAGAAATGCTAGCCAGCAACAACTCTCATCTAGAATTTACAGAGTTAATGTGTAGTTAATATATCTAGCTATATTATGCTTCTGTGATGAAGTACAGAGCCTCAGACACATAAATGACAAGGAATTAATTATTTGTTGGGGGGGGTGGGGTTCAGGCAGGGTCTCACTATGGGAGACCCAGGCTGTGGCCCAGGCTGACCTCTAGCTTGCAGTCTTCCTGCCTCAGCCTCCTTAGTGCTGGCACATATGGAAATCCTTTTATCTTTAGCCAAAATTAAGAGATTAGACAAATTGCAGATGTTTAAGCATTTGGTTTTTGTACTATTAATGATTACTAAGAAGTTTTTGTTTTTCATTTGGGGATGAAGTAAACACTAGCTAATGTTAATGTTGACTTTTTCTTCCTTCTGGGGAAGCTCTAGCACTTTGGAAATCAGAAAATTCAAAATTTGTTAGGTACAAGTTGGTGACTTAAATACATAAAGAAAAAAATTCCTTATCATTGTCTTTGTGGTAATACTTTTTTCAGAAGGATTTTTCACTTTTTTTTCTCTCTCTAGAGCTCTTTTTAAAAAGTTGTAGATGAAACAAAAACACACTGATAGAAACAGTTAATGCATTTGGAGGACAGAGTTGTTTTCAAAAATATCTTTACAAACTGAATAAGTGAATAAATTATGATGACTGTTGCAATGAAGTTTAACATATAGAAAAGTGAAGTCTGGTATTTATGTTTAAACTATCAATTGGAGAAACACAGACTGTAGGATTCAGAAGTGTATGTAAAAGATGTGAGCCTCACTGTGAGTGGCTGTGCTACAATACAATCCCAGAGAACATCTCAGGAAGCCAGCTGTGTCACATGTCCAGTAAGGAATGCTGTGAACATCATATTTTCAGTCATTACAACAGCAAGTGCCAGAAGGGAGTGGTGCATATAGTGAAAGGGGAAGGTGAGTTCAAAAGAACATAAAAGAGCCAGGTGCAATGGCTCACATCTTTATTCCCAGCTATGTGGGAGGCAGAGATTGGAAGAATCACAGTCTGAGGCCAGTCCAGGCAAAAAAGTTAATTAGACCCCCATCTCAACCAATAGCTAGGCATAGTGGTATGTACTTGTCATCCCAATTACATTGGAAATGAAAATAGGAGAACGGTAGTCCAGGCCTGCCAGGCAAAAATAACCAGAGCAAAAAGCCTGGGGTATGGCTCAGGTGGCAGAGCACCTGCCTAGCCAATACAAGTCCCTGATTTCAAACCATAAATAAATTGTTTTAAAGAACCCAGAAACAGAAACTGTGACCTGCTGCATATCCCAGGAAAAATGAGTGAACATACTAGGCCTCGTTTTCCTAGAAAACAGAATCCTAGGACTGGCAAAAGTTCATAATAGATGCTAGAATGCTCAAGAATTCTGAATGACAGAAAAGGTGGACATAATTTTAGTTGTTTCATAATGACAAAGCAGGACACATGAGTAGGAGTCATAGGGCAAAACATCAGAGCTCAACATAAGAAAGCCAGTGTACTGAATTGGATGGGGAAGCCTAGAAATGAAAGTGTTTTCAGAGGTAAAGAACCAGTTCTCGACCTGGAAGTAGTACGCCAGGCACAGGGCCATTGTCTGGGCCTAACAGAAGCTTCTTGCAATGTCTGGAGGGTTCCTTTGGTTGATCCTCAAAAAGCCCTTTCACATTTATATTGGTATTCAGAAGCCAGATGTCATTCCTAACATGCTAACCTACATAAAGTGTGCTTACATTATATAGAATATCATTTCCCAAGTGTTAAGACAGTATTATAAACTAACTTATGTGAGCTCACCATAAAAAAAAAAAGAATCAGAACTTGAAGAATGGTGTTTATCTTTTTTGTAGTAGGGCATTGTGCCTAAAATATAGTGGAGATATTGTATATTATTTTCTGAAACATATGTGTCTTTGATATAGACATATTGCTCTAGTATGAATGGAGATAGATTTAACCTTTAAATGGAAAACTGAATTATATGGCAATGAAGTTGACTAATATGAATATATGATTTAACCCAATGAGAAATGAAGGCTCTAAAGTGATTTTCCCTATCTTGCTGAGTGTTTGCAAGCAGGAGGTAAATGCATGTATTCACATACTTCAAGTATTTATCATCAGTTATTGCCAAGACACAATGTGTTCATAAAAAATTCTGGAGAAGTACTTTAGAAAATGAGATTGTGTGTGAATATGAACATATTTTAGAACCAAATTGATCTAAGTCCTGAATCTCCCATTTTGTAGTTGAATAGTTTACCAGAAATTACTATGGCTCTCACAGCTAGTAGTGAAGATCAAGTTAAAAAACATGGCTAAAGTGAATGGTGACTGGCATTTAGTAGATGTTTAGTAAGTATTAATTCATTTTCAGTCACCTACGAATTTCCAAATCTCTTCTGTTTAAGGATTGTGGACTCTTCCAAGATTTACAATGATACAGTGAATCCAAAGCCTGGGACCAAGACCATTTGCACAGATACTTAGTTTCAAAAACAGCAAGTTCTATCAACACCCATCATGGCTAAAAGTGCAGAGGTCAAACTGGCAATATTTGGGAGAGCAGGAGTGGGCAAGTCAGGTAAGATTCTTGCTTGTAGCTGCTGTGTGTGTGGTGCGGTGTCAGTGAACACTCACATGTCACTGTCTCTTGGGATTGGTCATACGGATGCTGACATTTCTCATATTTTTTGTTCTTTTAGATGAAGTCTCTTTCTCCTTCTCTGAAACTTTTATTTTGCATAACCAGTTTATGACTTTTTTGCTTATTTATTTGGTTGTATTGCGAGTTGAACTCAAGGCCTCGTGCTTGCTAGGTAGGTGCTTGACCACTTGAGCCATGCCATGGCCATTTTAGTTCGTTTTGAAAAAGGGTCTTGCATTTTTGCCCAGCTGGCCTGGACCATAATTCAGTTATTTTATGCATCCCATGTAGCTGAGATGACAGGTACCTGCCACCATGCCCAGCTAGTGGTTGAGATGGGGACTCTCTAACTTTTTGCCTGGGCTGTCCTTGAACTGAGATCTCCCAATCTCCACCTCCTCGAGTAGCTGGCATTACAGGCACGAGCCACTGCACTTGGCTCCCTTTGCTTATGATAAAGTTATTTTGCTGGTAATACACGAAGCAACGGAACTATCATATCTCTTGATATTTGGAGGAAGGACATTAAACAACCTCCAAAGAAATCAGAACGTGGACATTTAAAAATATACTTGCTCTTATCTCTCCATGTGAGATCCTGAGAGAGGCTACTTATTTCTCATTCACATTCATCTTGATATATCTGGCAAAGTCAAGCATGAGTTGGGTGCTTAATAAGTGCCTGTTGAGTGAATGTATCTTTATCAGAAACAGAATTGCATTATTGCCAAACACGTCTCAAGCCAGAAGAGGACTCTCGAACATTAGGCGCACATACTTTCAATCAAGACAGCTGTTGCTAAGCCTACGGGATGAATTTAAATTAGCAAATTCTATTTAACATCAATAATTCACAGTCGTTTTTATTCTCGATCTAAGAAAAAGTTTGCACACCCTCAATTCTAAGGCTGAAATGGTAGAATTGAAGAATACACCTAATAACCAATTTGTAAATAATACTTGAGATTTTATAATTAAAGTATGCCAAAGGAGATGTTAACCAAAATGTCACAGCAACCTGGCTTTTCACGTAATGTTGATTTTTGTCTCACCGGAGGAATGAACTCTAAGTGACTTTGCACACAGAGCTTTTAGGTTTCAGGAAAGGATGCAGACAGGCACCATGTGAGTGTGTTTGTAGAGGAAAACTCATTTGGACATAAACTGGATAATACAATACACCAGGTAATCCACATGATCTTAAACACACATAATCAACTTTTCATTCTGTGACCAACCTCTGGTTTAATTTCATTAGTAGCCTTCCCTGTGTTGAGTCTTGTTCTGGACTTTGCTTTTATCTGTTTTCTGCCATCATACTATTCTACTTGCTCTTTGTTCTTGCTTCTGGAAGAATACAAGCTAGGCAAAGAGCCAGCAAGGCTTAGAAACTGCCCATCTACACAAGTCTGAAGGTAGTTCAACTACTCTGGTGAGTTTCCTCAGAGTTTCCAAGTGCCTGAAAACCTCCTTTCTGTAGCTGATGGAAGGATCTGGAGAATGAGGACACCATCCTTATAGGGAGTGGCAGTGGAGGGAAGGGAGCATGTGGGTGGCCTGTGCAGCTGTCTAAGACCTTGGCAGTAAAGGGTAGGCCTGGGGCTGGCCATTTATTATTCATTCATTCCCCTCTCAAAACAAGCAATAATGGAAAGAGTTTTTAAGCCTTATGTTATTTAGTAAAATAAGCTCCATATGGTTTAAAAAGTTAAACATAAAAATTAAAACTCAGTGAGAAAAACCACTTAGCTCTCTGTATGTCCACCTGTTTCCCATCTGTGCCATCTTAGTTAAGACTGGAACCTCATCCTATGGAGCTGAGCTGTGACCCCCATTTTCTTTGTTTCCCCCCACATTATTTCCATTTTTATCTCCATTATTCTTGTCATCCACTCCTGACCAGTTTCCCGGGAGCACACCTTTGTCCACTGAGCCATCTTTGTCTTTTCTTCAAGCTTGTCAAATATGGTCTCTGCCCTTCCTGTCTTAACCTTTTCATATCTCCCATTCATTGCTTAAAACATGCCAGTCTTCTACTGAAACTGCTTGGGTAAAGTCACCACCAAGCAATAGCCAAGAAACGGACAAGTGCCACTCTGATCTTTCCACACCTTCTTACACCACTCCACACAACCAGTCTTCTTTCCTAAGCTGTCGTTGTTCTCAGGCTCCCATCACAGCATGGACCTGGCACTCTGTTTCCCCTCCATGGCCCTCAACCAGCTGTCTTCATGGCTGTTTCTCCTCTGCCAGCCCTGCAGAAGTTGGGTTTTTCTGGGTTCTATCCAGCATCTTCTCCTCTGTCTCATAGGGAGAGTCTTCATACCCAGAGAGAAGATAATAACCTCCACTTATCTTTGATTTATTTTATGTGAAAGGCAGATGCTGAAATTGCTCACAAAGTGCCTTATCAACTCTAAAATCCTGATTCTTGGTAAATGAGTCTTCTTTGGACGGGTTTCTATATCCATCTTGTTTACATTTCACACCACTTTTGTTTATTTTCCTTTCACACCACTTTTGTTTATTTTCCTTTCAATAAAAATGACAATGGTAGACTACCTGCCTTTGTCAATTGTCTTCTGTCTGTCATCGATGGGAAGAAACTGTTTTTCTATTCCAACTTTAGAATGTTCTCCTGATACCTGTAGCCACACCTCACATTTTGACTTGTATGGGAGACAATTCTGAAAACTTTTCCTATAGTTCAGTGAGAAAAAAAATTAAAAACCAGACTACTTCATGTCTTCATGTCTTTCAGTTTTGAAAATAGACTGTAGCAAAACTGAATTCAAGCTTATTCTAAATTTTAAAAGCATGGCTATATCTTGTCTCTATATAGTCATTATTCTACACATTCACATTTCTGCTATAAACACTATGTAAGTCTTAAAAGTAACTTTTGATTTTTTTAAGTCTGCAAGAAATTATCCTGGTTGGAATCTTCCTTAAATGCTCCCCAGCCTGGCTATGGTCTCTCCCTGGACCCACACAATCTGATTTCTCTCCAGACCACATGGGGAAGTACTTCTGGAGGAACCACATAAGATCTTGGGCTATAAGTACCGAGTGTCTCTGATTTCACTTGGGTCTGAGTGAATTGTTTTAGAGACTTCAAGTCTTATTTGTACCCTTTACTTTTGCCCACACTAATGATCGAATTGGTATTTGGGGTACATAAGACCATATTGACTATTTGCTAATAGAGTAATGTAGCTTGGAGTCCAGAGTATGAGCTCTAGAGTCACATGGGGATGTTTGACACCCAATTCAACACTTGTTAACTATAAATTTGGCAACTTGTGGCAAGTTACTTCTCAATTTCTTCAGTTATAAAAAAGTACATAGTAGTTCCTATCTTGGTTATGAAGATTAAATGAGTTATGTGCAAGTGTTTTAGAACAGCATGTGACACAAAGAAAATGCTCAAGTATTAGCTAATATTATTACAATACTTCAAAATATGCTTATTTTAATTTACAAGTTCTCTAGTGAAAACATTCAATAAAAGATACACATGTATTAAGTGGTCATTTTGTTTTTCAAAGTCGGAACACTTAGAAGGTAAAAACTTTATATCCTTACTCAGCACACCAGCAACAGACACACACACACACACACACACACACACTGTCTCTCTCTCTCTCTCTCTCTCTCTCTCTCTCTCTCTCTCTCTCTCTCATTGGAACCCAAAGTCTGCTTAATGTCAAATACATTAAGCAGATGAATATAACAATAATTCTTCTAGCTTATATTCAGTCTTGGAAGAATAGCCAGAAATATGTTAATGTCATCAATAAATTAACACTCTTAAATTTCATAGTGCTTCTGTTATATGCTAGATGACTTCTAAGCCCAGGTGATAGATAGGTTGTTCTTGTTTAAAACAGAACTTAACACTTAGCAGAACTTTCTGGTTGACAGGTTGACCATAGAAGTGTCAACAGAGGCAAAAGTTAACAGTGTGTTAATTACTAGGAACACTGATAAAACATGAAGGGCACAGGATATAATATATATGTAGCAGCATTTACAGGGCTTGTCGTATGGGGTGAATTCTTCTCCTTCCTATCTAATTTCACCTTGCCATTGTGTCTTCAACTGATCTTGCTGGCTGAAGGAATACACAGTGGGCATCATGAGGATGATTCCCTAGTCCTTTCTCTCTTACCCCAGCAAGGTAAACATTTACCTTCATTGGTCAGAGGTAAGGCTCTAATAATATGGTATGCAGACTTCCTTCCCTATATGCATCAGCCCACATTTTGACAGGCTACAAGTAATTAAAGCAATAAGACCTGCCAATAAACCTAGAATACACAATTTTTTATTTAAACGCTTCCTGTATTCATATTATTCAAATTCGTAGTAAGTGTGGGAAGGGTTGATAGAAAAACAGCTGAAAATTTAAAGTTAGTTTCACAGTCTACATTCTCTCTTTTTAGAATTGAAATACTGTGCCATCAGAAAATATATTTCTTGAAAGGGCTAGGCTCAGAGTTAATTGAGTCATGCTATCCTCTAATTCAAAAACCAATTGATGCACTCATCCGTGAAGGCTTAAGTTCATAGACTCGGATTGCTGGACTGTAAATTGAGTGCCAAATGAAAACAAACTTGTGACTTTTTTTTTCCCTTGGCACAGAATTGACTTATTTTTTCTTCTCTCTTATCCTTTTCCTTTTTCATGCTTGCCATTTTTTTCTTTCAACTATAATCAATTTTTAAAAGCTTTTTGTTCATTTTATTTTCAAATAAGATAGCAACACTTCTGAGTTTAAATGTGACTTTTCCTATAAGCACCCAAAACTGCTTTAAAATATATCTGTACTTTATGGCTGGAATTTATCTGTAAAGATCTCATATGTACTAAATGAAAAACCTCAGCAATACCAATGGCATGTTGGGCAGGTCAGTTTCCTTATGCTATAGAACTG